CCCCCCCCCCCCCCCACACACTTCCCAGAGTTTCCCACATTCCCCGAGGCATCGACGAGTAGTTGTGTCTTACATGCGTCCGTCTCTGTGCAAGAGGGTATTGGGCGGCACCCTTTGTCAACCCGATCCCCTCAGCAACCTCCGCGCCGTTCGGCCGCGACAGTAGCGAACGACCGCCCGATCCCTGGCTTGATATCCGCCCAGAGGGAAAGGGTGTCAACGTGACGCCCCCCGAAGGTCCGTGAACTCCCGCTCGGTCGCGTCTGGCTCGAGCAGCAGCACGAGCGGGGCGCCCCCGCCGGTCCTGCAAGGAGGGAGGGAAACAAAAACCAAACACGAGGCAGGCAGCAAACAAGACAAACGTCTCCTCATCTTTCTCCTCCACCTCCTCCTCTTCCTCTTCCTCCTCCTCCTCCTCCTCCTCCTGTTCCTACTCCTGGTTGTCCCTGATCCCGCGAAGGGCATTGCCAGACGCATGATTTCGCCCATGCGCCTCTCGGCGTATGGCTGGTTCGTACACTCGAGGGGGGGCCGCGCGAACACGTCCGATAGGGGCGGGCACGGGACTCCCTTCGTGGCACGCGGGGCGCGCCCGGGCCAGGGGGGATGCAATTGAAGGGGCCCCAGGACACACAAACAAATACACACAAATACAATGATTCCCCATATTTTCCCATATTTTCTGGGTTTCCGTCTTCCCCCCCACTCCCTGACTCATGCCAATCCGAAGAATCCGCGCAGGACTTCGGAAATTCGCCTTTTCGCTTGTGCCTCCGCTGAGGCCTCTGCGCGGGTCTCCCTAAGCTCAGGATTACGTCGCGATCTCCGCGCAGGCCTCCGAAAATCCATGCTTGTGCTGACTGTTTGTTCTTCGCGGTCCTGCTGAGCCGGACCGCGTCCACGGTCGTCCTGGGGCCGCTCGGGCCCAGGTCCAGCGTGCTCCACCGGACGGTCGCCGTCGTGCCCTCGCACTGCGCTTGGGCCGACTGCAGCGGTGGCGGCCTGATCTGGTGGACCACGCACACGGGCAGGGGCTCCCCGATGGAACCGACGATGCGACTCTTGGAGGCACAGAAGAGCCGCAGCTCGAACTCCCCCGACAGGCCCTGCGTGGCGCCCTCACGGCGGTCCGTCCTCGCCAGGAGGGGCCGAAGGAGGGGCTGGCGCAGGGGGGAGACAGAGGCACAGCATCGGTGATGCATCGCCGATGGACCAGCGCTAGGCCCCCGATAGCGACACCGTCCGCTCCCAGACGGGGTCGGGGGCCCCTGGCCCCTATCGGCGACGAGTTGGGCGATTGGGGGTCGAGCAGACCTCGCAGAAGAGAAACTACCCAAACACAGATATCGGGGCTGAACCTGGCGGGCGCAAGCCTGGAAAATGACGGCCGCGGCGCCCTCTCGAGAACCAAAAACGGACAATTCACTAATCGACGTGTCAGGGTAGGAGGTCTGTCCACCCCCGAAAATATTCAAGTCCGCGCGGGGTGCTTGCATGGGCGCAGGATCCCCCCCCTCCCCGAGGCGCGCGGCGCGCACCGGAGGCGGAGGCGCCGCCGAGAAGGCCCCGCGCAAACCCACGCTGTATGTCCTGATGGGACCACAGACTGGGCGTGACCTTTCTGCCAGATCTCGGGTCTCTGTGAAGGGGCCCTGGGACACACAAATAAGTACACACAAATAAAAGGATCCCCCATATTGTCCCATGTTTTCTGGGTTTCTGTCTTCCCCCCCACTCCCCATATTTTCCCATATTTTCCTGGGAATCGACGATTCATTGTGTCTGTGTGTTTTCCCCTCCTGAAAGAAGGCCCCACGCAAACCCACGCTGTATGTTCTGATGGGACCACCGCCTGGGTGAGACTTTTCTGCCAGATCTCGGGCATCTGGCTGCCGCTCGGGACGACTCGGGCCCCCCCCCCGGAGCGCACCCGCTGCTGGAGAGCATCCCGAGGCTGAAAGCGCCTGTGGGGACCTACGGAAACGTCCAACAAACTCCGTCCTCGAATCAGACACTCGGGCCCCCCCTCTCATTTTAGGGGCAACGAAAAGGGGCTTCTGGCATACGGGGGGGATGCATCGCCCTGGAATCGGCGATACATCGCCGGCAGATTGGCGACAGGACACCGCTGGAAACCCGCACCCTCCTGGGCGGGGTGGGGCTCTCGGGCCCCTGTCGGCTATCAAGGGGCGATTCGGGGCCGATGCATTCCCCCGCTGTGCCTGTCCCCCCCCTCTCGTTGCCTTTGATCATTACAGTCGGGGCGTTGACCTAAGGAACCCTGAATAAGGAACGAGGCTCCTATTTTCCATAAGTTGAACTTCGATTTCGTATCGAAAACCTGAGGACAATCCAGGGCAGGCCACGAAACAATCAAGGCACACGGAGCCCCTCCCCAACGAAAAGGGTTCCTCCTTCAGGGCCCCGACTGTACCCCTGACCTCAGCAGCGAGGGCATGGTGATCTCGACGCAGCCAGAGTGAGCCAGGGCGCCGCTGGCCTCGTCGCGGGGCAGGTCGGCCCGCAGGTTGGGGTCCACCATGCTGAAGGGCTGCTTGCCTGTGGCGACGCCGATCGACCGGCTGCCCCAGGGCTGGACCTAAATGTTGCTGCCCATGCTGTTTTTGTTTTGTGTTTCGTTTCGCTCCGCCTGTTTTGTTTCTAGGGAGCCCACAATCGACGCCCCCGCCAAACTGTGTGCATGAACGCGGCCCCTCGGTCCGCGAGACTGACCGCGTGATACGAACACTCGCTCTATGCGTACTCTCGGAACCAGCGTGGACTCATGTACGCATACGTCCTTCTTTCGCTCCTGAGTTTTCCTGCACCTCCATGCCAGGATTAGATCGGGCATATCCCCCATACAGGCAGATTGTGGAGGACAAAATCAATGATAGTCCAAATATACCCAAGAAGTAATCAACACATAATCGAAACATCGTCCCCAGACTATTTGACTCTTCTTGAATGATCCTCCTGTAGAGGGACATGCCCGCCTTACCCCAAGTCCAGCAAAGACGAAAACAAAACACGGCCAAAGTCCAGCAACACAGCGGCGTGGCCTGGGCCCCACTGGCCGATTTACCCCCCTAGATGGGGATATAGGCGGTCCCCTTCGGGTTTCGAAGGGTGTATCCCCAACTGGGGTGGTAATTTGGTGGGGGTCTCGAAGGGGATGAGGATAGGGACAGGGGTCGGTTGAACGAGACTGAACACAGCCGAAGTCCAGCAAAACAGCGTTTAGGCCCAGCCCTAGACTGCCCAGACCTCCTCCCGCCGAAAGAAAAGCTCGAGTCTGCGGGCGCCGGCTGGTGCAAAAGAAGGTCAGGCGCCGGTCAACGCAGGCGGTGGGACGCACTGATCAACGAGAGCGGCGGTCAGGCGGTGGTCAACGCATCATCATCATCAGCACCAGTATCATCATCATTACCATCATCATCCTCCTCCTCATCATCATCATCATCAGTATTATCACCATCATCATCATCATCATCATCATCAGCATCAGCATCAGCATCAGCATCATCATCATCATCATCATCAGTATTATCACCATCATCATCATCACCATCCCCAATTATCACCATCATCACCATCACCATCACCATCACCATCATCATCATCATCATTATCATCATCATCATCATCATCATCATCATCATCATCAACATCATCATCATCATTAAGTAGGGACGCACCAGATGCATATTGAGCCACCGATCGAGCATTGTCTTTGGGTGGAGGGCAAAAGGTGAAGTCCGAAATGCCGTTTCGAATGACTGTCGAGGTTCGAATCTGCAAACAAGGTGGATCCCAAGACGGCTTGACTTTCGATTTGCAGAGGCCCATATGGATTTCACCCTGAGCCCTCCACCCTAAGGAAATGCTCAGGCTGAGGCGAAAGAGAGAGAGAGAGAGAGAGAGAAAACAAAAAAAAAACAAGAAAAAAACGAGAGAAACCAAAGAAGGGGCCCGTTCAGACCGTGGAGGCCGTCGCGGGGGTGCAGGGGGAGATCACGCATCGTGAAAACATTGCGTTCCCCAGAGAGCACCTGATGATGAAGACTGCCATCTCCCCAGCTGGTGCGACGACGACTCCACCGTGCAAGCATAGTCAGAGGAGGCCGTCGGGATCGAGTCCCGAGCAGTGGCCAGGCCCACCCCGTTCGCGTGACGTCGACGAGACCCAAACAGCAAGAGGACA